TGAGTCAGAGTGGGCAGGTGACTCTCCCGTCACTCCTCCGTTGCTGTAGATGAACTGACGAGCGGAAGCTTGGGTGGGCAGGCAGGGAATGCGTTTGTAAGTCTAACCATCACAGAGTTCAATTGGTTCCAAGCAAAAGACATACTCAGAGTACAAGGCCTTAGCATAACTACCACAGCAGCAGTCAGAAAGCTCAAGCGAGCAATGACTGCAGACAAGGGCATACTGCACAAAATTGAGCGCTTGAACCACAGGTGTGCACACTGATTGGAGTGGATCCAGGAGAGTGGGAGATGGAGGGCGCCGCATAAACCCTTACAAACACAGATGCAACACAGCAGAGATGGAAAATAAAACACGAGTCAAAAAGAAGAGGGGAGAAAAAAAAGGACACATGGGGGGAAAGCAATGGCTACAAAGACAGCATGACAAATTAAGATACTGCAATACATGACTTTCAGTAAGCAAGAGCAGCAGTTGAGTTAGATAGTAAGAGCTCACACATGCTGGAGGATTAACTTTTACAGACACATAAAAAATGATTTTTGTAATTATCAGTGCTGTTAGTTGAGGTCAGCTGCGGCATAAACCGAACAAGGGTGGTGGTCTAATAAAATTGTTAAGCTCTGTGTGAATTGAACAAAAACCTCAACTTATTGAATGAAATCAGTCATGTGGTTCAGAAAGTAAGTTTCCCAATGCAACTCTAGTAGGAGTGAGTGAAACATAACTTTAACTAAGAGAAACACATTTTAGAGTAAAATGTGTTTATTTCACTGTGGTTTTACTGTGGCATCGTATCGCTGCTGAACCACAAAGCGTAGATGCAAAGAAGCGGTTTATTCAGCAGGATTTTGAAAATCCAAAGCAACAGAATGAGCGATGTCACCCTTTTGTTCCAGCCAGAGTTTCTTTTTCAAAACGACGAGACTTACAGTACTTAATGAATTTATTAGGCCACCTGTCATAAAAATAAGGAAGCACAAATATTTTAGAAATCTCTCAAATTATTTATCAGGCAATTAACAAACTGAATTAATGTCTTTCTACCCAAACTTGAGCCGGCACACTGAATTTATCCGAGAAGTCAGAAATGAATTAATCATAATAGTGGACAACTAAGACCGTTTTTTCTGTTTAGAAATCCAAGCAAATGACTGTATTTAGTCATCTTAATTAAAGAATAATAATAGGTTTTACTATTTTTCCTCACTTTTAAAAAAATAGGGAATTTGAAAAATCATTGATAATAGCAATGATAATAATTTAGCACTAAAAACATAATTTTGATTAAAGAGCTTACACATACTGCTGGGTTAACATGATAAATACCAATACAGCTCATTTAGGAATTCATTTATGGAATTTTCCCACCTAGTAATTCTAGTAAGAGTGAGTCACCACCAAGACCAGCCCGATTTAAAAAAATAAATGCAACAGAATGAGCCTTTTTTATCTCACCCGAGTTCTTCTTTTTCAAAACTAAGTAAGACATATATACATATACGTCTTGCAGAGGTCCATAGAGGCCACAGTTTAGTGTAAACATTAAACTGGGACTAATTGGCTGGTAAATAATTCATTCATTTTCTTTATTTCTCTTGACTTTATGTCCTTGCTTGTTCTCAGACGTAGATGTCTGTAATATGGCAGCTTTGCTCTAGTTCCTGCTGCTTGAATAAAATATCAAAGTGCAATGAGCTATGAGATTCCCATGTTTTTGTATGGCCTAGTTTGTTCCATCTACTCAGCTCATGAAATCAAATTTCATATGGCTCGAAGTAAAAGCTGCTGTATCTGGCTCAGGTGCATGGCTTTAATGTGATGCTTTCACTCAGTTTTTAGATATCGTAGCCTTTCAATTTCACTATATTTTGAAACCTATCCACATAAAAAACCTCAGATTTAGTGACTATTTCTCAAAACGGCATAACAAAGTGGGTAATTTTTGATAACCTATAAAGAGCGGCTTGGTCTTTTGAGGAGGCGTAAAAGTCGTATCAAGTTTTTCTTTTCTTTTTTAACCCAACCACCTGGGATAAGAGGAGGTCAGAGCAATCAAACACCACAAAAAGAAAGACAGCCTTGTGCAAACATTAAGTGAACTATTCCTGTTTATTGTCACTTCACAGTTGGTATAGCACAGCTGACAGCACAACCCACAGATAAAAGAAACAGGTCAAGTTTAGCTGAAGTGAAAAGGCACTGATTTGTTCTTTGGATTAGGTGTTTTTTTTCCAGATTTATCTTACAATTTCAATCAAGATCAAGCAATATTTAGTCTTTTTAATCATCTGTCTGAACATTTATGCAGGAATGACCGATCCAGACTAAATTTAAACGCTCTTTTCCTCATTTAGAGCTTCCAATTTTTCTAATCTTTGAACAGCCGTACTGTGTTTGTTTGCATGCCTCCAAGAAAGAGGACTGGCAGAGTGGCTAGCTGAAGAGGTGGGCATTGTTGGCAAAGACTATATCAGTTGGAAGTTGCACGTTTCTTCCATATTCTTGTGCGTCTTCACCCCAGTGGAGTGTGGTCAGTGTTAAGTCGCTTACAGCATTGTTAGCACCTCACATGGAAGCTTTTAATCCTCCTCCCAAACTCACAGAATGAGTCATTTAGAGATTTTTTTTAACTGCGTGAATGTAATACCCTGTAAGGATAATGTGAAGAAAAAAGCCTCATCAAGCCCACTGCACAGATGGCTTGTCAGAAATGTGCTCTCCCTGCACCAGTGCTTTGAATTAGTCCTGCCTCAGTGGTGTAGCTCACAGGGAGAAACCTGCTCCCCTTCCTCTGTTTCTTCACCTTCGCTGCTTGATTCGCAAACACAGTAGGATACTTGGAAAGTAACTGGAAAGTACTTTGTGCTGCAGCTATAATAATAGCTTAGCTTACTTGAAGGCGTCACTTCCTATTAATATGGATATTAAGTTAATGACATTTTAAAATGTGTTTTTTTTCCCACACAGATTAAAAATAATGAATCAAAAGTGCCTGGAGGAATTTTGGCTGTTAATACCTTTAAGTAATACAGTCATCCTGTTAATGTCATCATACTGACTTTTAGCTTTATTTGCCTAAACTGAGACACCTGTGATTACTCTTCTTTTGTAATAAATGTGAAAAAATGTTGCCTTATTTATTTGCTGCTCAGTAGCAGGCACAGATTGAAATAAAAATAATTTGCTGTTCTAGTTTTGTTAATTCAACAAGCTTAAATTTGCTTCCCTGAGAACCATTGCAGTAGCTCAGTAAGACAGTTTGCAAGCTGCAAGTAATGAGTGAAGTGGTTATGGTGACACTACACTACACATCAAAGTCTCGGCATGTTTTTAAAATATCTTGGCGTTGTGCTTCACAGAAATGTGGTGATGCAGTATTTAATCAGTATTTAATTCAAAACAGTGTCTTTTCTACTCTGAGCACTACAAGCCACATTCACATTGCACTCTTTTCTATGCCTTTAAAGTGGCTTTCACACCCACCGCTGGATGCCGAGGTGGAAAACTGAACCATTGACCTTATGATTGCTAGATGGACCCGAGTGCAAGATGAGCCCGACCACACCTGACATTTCTAATTCTGCAGTTCAGTTTAAACTGCTATAATCTTCCTTTTCTCCCCACTAAAATTATCCTTTTCAGCTATTTTATGCATGTTGCCTCCAAATGAATGCAATGTGTTGAAGTAATGCTCCTGTTGGAGATCCTTGCCGTCTTCACTGCTTGTAAAAACAACAAATTAAAAAAAAATCAAACTTTAAACCCTGCAGACATGGAGCCTTAAATGCACCGGGACTTTGCTGAATGCCACATGGCACTTGATCAATAAACACACTGAGGCAGTTTCACACGATGAATATGGTTTTAGAACAAACTCATTCACGGTGTCGTACACCACAGAGTCAGTTGTTTTATCGGTTTCACTGAATTGGCACTATGCCTGCACAAGTCGATCCCTCTCACATGGCTGAGAACTAGGATTTTCCCTCATGAAGAGCACAAAGCATTCTGCAGTCACGACGTGTCAGTCAAGTGAAGAGCTTAAACCAAGCTCATTTTAAATCTTATTTCTCCTTGTCTTGTGTAGCTGCCACAAGCAGTTATGTGGTCTCTGCTGTCAAACAGCAAAACTGTCACATTATATAACATTAAATTGAATGCAAAGGATATTACTCTGTTCCCGCCACTGCTTCAAAAATCGCTGTGGGCACTTCTGAGGTGGACGTTGTCCTCGCTTTTTATTTTGTTGTTGACAAGAATGTTTGAATTAAGATGGGTTAATGTGAATGTTGCAGTTTACAGTTGGGTATGATATCAGTTTTCTAAACGTTCAGAGGAATGCATTTATTCATTCAACAATGCTTATTTTCAGGACAATATCAAAACCTTGCAGGATAATAAGTTAAATTAATGATGGCATGGATTTGGAAAACTGCACAAATTAGTTAAATAAAGGAATAAAATTGATTAAATGAATACTTTAATTGGCCATCATAACAATACAAAGGCAGAAACATGCTGCTGTGTCTCCCCCTGCCCTCTATACATTTCTTAGTGTTAAAGAGATAACAAGAGCCCACTGAATGCACAAGGAAGAACTTCAAAATGGAAAATGCAGTTCAAAGTTGATTATGGGAAGCGGGTTTTAAGAGATATGTAAATAAACTGACAGAGTAAGAGGCTTTGCATTTCCCTCCATGAATAAAAATTTGTATTGCTAAATTGGTATTCTGGGTGAGAGTCAGACGGATAGTAGTGCTCAACTTTGAACTGAGCTCTGAAGAAATTACAAGGATGGTTTAGCTTACCTTCTTGGAAAACACTTTACTGTAACAGCAAATCGCTGGTTTATGCCTGCACGTGACTTAGCTGATTGCAGTGCTTTGGAATAATGAATATGCGAGATCTGTATTTATCTTTATAGCTCAACATGCATTTTAAAACAATATGTTTGCGAGAATGCCAAAGCTTTACCGTTTTCTCTTTTCTTGCAGGGAGCGCTTACAGGGAATGTATGGATAACGGAACATGGGCGCTGAAGAGTAATTACTCCAACTGTGAACCCATTTTGGAGGAGAAGGTAGGTGACTGCAGGCGGGAGCGAATCCTGCAGTCCTTCAGGAAAACACTCATCATCGTCAGAAAAATTGCAATCAGATGCAACGATGAAAAAGAACCAAACAGAACCGTATGTCCCTTTATGATGCGGCGCAGTTAACCCCCCCCTTCAAAACATGTTCTTTTTGAGCAGTATTGTCTGTGTCTTTGTAAACAAAGTCGGAGGACAAACTGCAGGAGCGATGCACTGTGTGTAGCAAGTTTTGGCCTGATTACCTCGTACTGTGGCTCCGATTCTGTGTCTTGCTCTATATTCTTAGATAATTTTAAGCCAAGACTGAAGTATGTCAATGACATCTGCTTTTTATAATCATAGTTAAACCTCAGTACAATGAAGCCTGGATAGAGAAGCAGCTGAAACGATGTAGAGACAGCCCTCTCATACAAATTATGTTCTTGTTATCATTCTCTTGCCATTATTTCAAAAATCTCGGACTAAAATTATTTAACTGCAGCCTAAGGGAAGCGTATTTGCTCCACCAATGTTGGGATCATTAGGTCTCTCAATAATGTTTGCAAATGGAACAGTTTAAAAGACAAAAAAAACCTACTTTCATTCAAGCATAGAATACTTTACTAACTGCTTCATTAAAGATGAGTGATTATTTGCATCAGTAATGTAAAAGCTTGGCTTTGAATGCACTCTGCATGCCACTGCCTCTTGGTTCCTCTACTATTGTCACGACCTAAGCATGTAATTACTTGTGACGACCCATTAGTGCATTGAACATGTATTAACATCTAAAATTTGCAGGGAAAAGGCACTCTTGTTGTTAAACTGCATGCACTAGATAGGTTCTTCCACTGTGTTTATACATTGCTTTGTCTTTGTTTCTATTATGCAGCTGTAACAATAAAGAAGTAATTCATGGGCTGTCTTTTCAGAGAAAATATCCGATGCATTATAAAATAGCGCTGATCATCAACTACTTAGGCCATTGCATCTCTGTGGGAGCTCTTGTCGTGGCCTTCATTCTCTTCTTGTGCTTAAGGCAAGTACGAAAATAGTGCATATTTCAAACGTGTCCTGTATGCACCTCTTGGAAGACAATTAGTGAAATCCACATCATACTCACACTACTTATCATTAACTTGCTTATGTCAGATGAATAGAACTCTGCAGCTCAGCCGCGATGGAGCACTCAGGCACAGAAGGGCCTAATGTGCGTTTCCCAACACTTGTGTTTGAAGGTGTATATCTTTTCATATCCTGGCTTGAAAACACACACACACACACACACACTCCCACTCGCTACATCAGTTATGACAAAAGAGGGCAAACACCAGCATCCTGAGATACTTTGTGTACTGAGGTTAGATCAATATGGGCTTCTGAAAGCAAATACCGATTATTTCAGCTTGGAGACTAAAATAGTTATCGTCTTCTGAGGTTAAATCTCCCTAGACTTCACAGAAAAATCAGCAACTACTTCTCCACATATATATTTATTCTTGGTCATTTTGGGAAATGCATTTGAAGAATCACCTGCAACTATAAGTCAGTGCTAAATCTTGTACAAAGATTAACTTTCAGCAGCGTTTTAAAGCTGAAGATGTCTACATTTTTTAAAAATGTAAAACCCTAATTTGCATGAAAGTGCCTGTTCCCTGAGTCATAACTGTGTCAAATCTGAGCACACAAACATTATACATGCATTTTTAGAGTTAGCACACTTTTAGTTTATCATGAAGTTTTATGTAGTTCGAAACTAATCTCGTAATAATTGCCTGCAAACAGGAACTGGCAACTGGAAAAAATTGATTGGCCTAAAAAAGGCTCAGTTTTCACACACTGACTGCAATTACAGAACTGCCGGAAAATTGATCAAAGGTATAAAAGCCAATAACCGAGCAAACCATTACAGCGGCTTCATCTCAAGTATAAACTTATTCTGTCAATATTCCATCCTATAATGTCATCTCACTGTGAATACACTGTCCTTTATCTTTAAACTTTTGACACTTAGACAATGATGCAGGAGAGCACAAAAGAAGCAGAAAAAAGTGCCTTGTGAAATTTTAAGACATTCTCTAAACACATATCAGGAGGCTGTCAAGGCCTTGAGAAACAAATGCTTTATTTATTTCTCCTTACTCCAGCAGATGAAGGATCCTGTTCAGCACTATCAGTTTTGACCTTAATCACACTGCCTCTATCTTTCCAAGTCGTTCTCCTGCATTGTGCGACAGCTTTCTAAATTTTTTCTTCATACTCACTTCTTAGAATTAATGCTGCATTGTACAACTGGTTCAAAATGCTGACTTCTGACAGCTACACAGAAGCACAGTCGTATTTAGCCCTGTTTTAAATCGTAACACTGGCTTCCTGAGACGTACAGGATGAATTTCAAAATATTGTGGCTCACATATAAGAGGTTGAATGGGCTCGCTCCAGGTTATCTATCAGACATTTTACAGTCCTACATCCCATGCCACTCACTTATAGGGCTGTTCGATATAACGATATATATCGGATGACGATATAAAAACGTCTATTGTTTCATTTGACGCTATCTCCAAAAGTTGATTCTGTTCATCTGGACGTAGCGTTTTCTGGGAGAAACGTTTCGTCACTCATCCAAGTGACTTCTTCA